TTTATTTTTTATTTTTTTATTTTTTATTTATTTATTTTTTTCTTCTGTGATGCTTGTTGTAGGAATAAGTAAACTAGACTTTCTTTTCCAAATAGCAAAAATAAATCTAAGAATAATTTTGATTTAGTGTATTATGATATTTTGAGACTATATCTCATTCATGATCACAATATTACATTCTCATTTTTCTTGATGATCACAATCGTGGCAAATGAATTTTTCTCACGAAACATAAATAAAAAACCAGATGCTTTCTATTGTTCTTTTCTAATTGGGTTCAAACCCATTTTAATGCGAAAATCAAGGTTATTTTGCACTAGTAAAAGTCTTACTTTCAACCACTTAAATTTGATGACATGTTACTTTTTGAGCATAGAACAGATAGGCACACAAATTAAATTGATACTCCATAATAGAGTGACTTGGTAGAACGCAAGCATCGATATTAGAAGTTGCTAGATCCTCGCGATTTCAAGCAAGTCTACCGGTCAGTCTTCGAGGTAATTTGCATTTTGACTCTTGTATACTTCATTAATCGTATGTAACTTTTTATCTGGTCTCATGCTTGGTTATAATCATTTACTCATGAAAAATTTGCTCCTCAAAGTAAATCAGGTATTTTTGTGTGTTATTTGCTACAAAACTTTTGATTTAAAAAGTTTGGGTGATTTATTCTTCCTGAGAAATCCAATTCTGTGAAGAAATTTTTCTGTTTGCTCACTCGTCTGATAATCCAGCGGACTTGCACATTCACAATCCTCGTCTTGGACTACCAAAATAGTCTAGCCCATTTGGTGGCACACCATTTGTCATTAGGCCTACGGAAATTGGACTAGTAAGTTCTAATGTTGTGCAGCTTAAGCAGACTACGTCAATTCCTATCCAAGCCCGTTTCAGTAATGTCTAGCCTACTCTTTTCGCACATCCAGGGCTTCCCACTACAACAGAAAGCTCAACACGAACTGGGCCCACATACACTGGACCTTCCATTCCAACAGACTACCCAAGAAGGCTCACACGGGCTGGGCTTTTATCAGCTGACTACCTCGCTGTGGAGGGTCTTCCTTCTTCTTTTTCTTTTGGGCCTTCTATTTTCTTGGATCAGTAGCCTGCTGTGGAGCGCATTCATTTATCTTCTTCTGGGATTCCTATTTCCTTGGATCAGTACTCTATTGGATTGCAATCACTAGAGCATCAGTCTGTTTACTTCAACATCACGCTCTTCTCGGATCAGAAAGCTGTCCAAAAAATTTATCTCCTGCCTCCCTCGACCTTGCACTCTCCTCTCCATTTAACTAACTCAATGGTATATTGTTTATTTCATATTATTTTATATTTTAAATTTTCTGACACTCACAATGCCTTTTTAGTGGTTATCATTTCCATCAATAAGCCTATATTATTTTCTTAGGCAGTAAAACATGAACAATGGCAAAAAAATTTAATACATGAACAATTGTACCTTTATCACATGAAAGACATGCCATAGATTTTAAATGGATGTAAAAAGTTAAATTTCATCCAAATAACTTTGTAAAACGATATAAAACTTGTCTTATAACAAAAAGATATATTCAGATTGAAGGCATTGAATTTCATGAAATATTTGCCTCGGTTGCAAAGTTGGTCACGTACAGTCCATGGCCTCCGTCCGCCAATGGAAACTTCATCAACTAAATGTCAATAATATCTTCCTCTATGTGATCTCTCTGAGGAATTCTATATCAAGGTTCTTCAACGTTTTGCTAAAAAGAGGGAGCAACGTGTTTATCATGTCCAGAAGTCTTTTTATTGACTTTGTTAGGCTTCCTGAAGCTTAGTCATTATTTATAATAAATTTTATCTAGTCATCTTCTAATCACTTTTTATTTATCTCTTCTCAAAAAGGTTTTTTTGTTGTAGTTTTTATTTATGTTGATGATGTGATCAGAATCAACGTAAGTATGTTCTTGACATATTAACTGAATGTAGACTCACTGGCCGCAAGCCTTCTATCTCACCCATGGATCAACAGTATAAGCTCAATATAGATAATAGCATCCTTTGCAATGATCATAGCCAATATTGTCGACTTGTTTGGTGTTTACTCTATCTCACCATCACACACTCATACATTAGTTATGCAATTTATATTTTGAGTCAATTTCTACATCAACCAAGACAACCTCACTTTGATACTTCCATTCGAGTTCTTCGCTACCTTGAAGGGTCCTTTAGCCTTGGCATTTTTTCCCCCTTTAATAGTCCATTAACCTTGCGAGGTTATGGTGACGTTATACCACTAGTTACATCATCTTTCTTGGCTCATCTCTAATTTTTTGGTGGTCCAATAAGCAGTATGTTGCTTCTTGCTCTACCGCTAAAGCTAAATATAGAGCCATGAGAACCATTGCAGGTGAGATTGTTTGGCTTCGTTGCCTACTCTTTGAGTTCGAACTAAACATATTAAAATCGATTGTCATTGTTTGGCAACATGTTTAGTCCAAGCATTTATTATTGCAATCAATTTTTTCTATATACGAATTAGTCAATATCTTTATCAAGACGCATGGTAAGGATATATTTCTTTCGTTGTTGGACAAATTAGACATTTTCAATTTGCATGCTTCAACTGAAGGGGAAATAAAGACAATTATTTTAGGAAATATTGCATTAGAATTTTGTTCTTTAATATTAGAATATTTTCTTTTAATAACTCCAAACATATATGGACATCAACTTAATTATATATATATATCCCTCTTCTTTTTAACAAAACATACAGTGAATATAATTCAGATTTTCAATTTAATTCCCATTTCAAATTTTTAGACACTAACGTTAAAGTCGCTTTTTAATCCAATAAAAAACAACTCAAACAAATATTACTTTTTTTTTTCAATGATTTTACCAAACTTCATCAAATTTAAATACATTAATCGGATTTGTAAATGACTTGTTTAAGATAGTATTGTAGAGGGATTTAGTTTAAATGCATAAAAAAACTGATTTAGAAATACCTTTGTTGTTCACACACACACACATATATAATGTGTGTGTGGAGAAAACCCTTGAAAAAAACTTTTAAATGCTCAAAGTTTTTTAAGCCTAATGCGCGCTAGGAGATACGATAGTCGTTAGCGTTTAATTGACTTGCTGTTGATGATAAGAGTCCCATCAATTTTTATTGAATGAGTTATAAAATTCAACTAATTAATTAGATCCTAGCATGTGCATGAGGTAATATATATATATATATATATGCAAAGTTTTAGTTAAAATGTCATTTTTTTATTCTAGTAAATTGACTCATACTTTCTTATAAATACGTAATTTTCTTTTAATTGTTGTTGTGTGATTGGTAATTAAAACTCAATCATGCTACCAAGATAGAATTACTGTAAAATAACTCTACATTATTAATTAGTCCCGTTTGTAAAACAATCTTATTCTTGGTCTAACATAAATGAATATTGGGATTAGATCCTTCCATATATCTGAGAATATCTTTTTTTTTTTTTTTTATTTACCAAATTCGATGATTTTATTAAATAGAATGTAATAGATGGACCTAATTTAATTTTGGATATCAAATAAATATGTTAACATCCAAATATAAAAACTACGTTGATATACATTTAAATAGATGGACTTACTTTAATTTTTGTTGAACGTTGGTTGGGTTCGAAGCAAACAAACTTGATCAAGATTTTTTTCTTTTTTCTGCTCAAGTTTGCTTGTCCCGTCATTCCATGAGTGCTTGCTATGGCAACTTAGCTAGTATTGGTTGAGTTGAATTATGGTTTTAAGTAGTAGATAAGTTGTTGGTGTAATAGTAAACAAATTGGTTTTTAAACGAATTTTTTATTAATGTGTAAAGTTCGAATTTTAAAATAATACTTTTTAGATATAATTAAATATTATTTTTTTTGAACATTATTGATCTTATTTTCAATATAAAATAAAAATAAATAAGAAAAATCTAAAAAAGAGAATGTTATATTACGGTCACATAAAGATAATTTTATTTTTCATTTCGTTTTAAAACGTTATGTAACAGGTTTTGAAAATTTGTTGTTATAGCGGTTATTATGACCATTGCATCACCGTAACGTCTGTTATATAATGATCATACCCATTTATATGATGGCAACACTTGTTACATTATTTTTCCCCCTAAACTCTTACAAATATACTTTCAACATATTTAACTCTTATGCTTCAACCCTATATCAAAATAATTTAATTAATATATAATTTTTTAAAAAATATCTATAAAAGAAAATGGTTATATATTTTGTTTTTGTTTAATTAAAGTTGTAAAAGATTTTTGATGACATTGTAAATATCAATATTAATTAGAGGAGTTGTGATAGACACTCTATGATGCTAATTTTAGAAATTGAGTAATTAAATTTGCAATGTCTAATGAGAGGCATGATGTGTTTGTATTGATTATTTATTTTTTTAATCTCGAAAGTATTAATATTATGCATTTGTGGTGAGATTTAATATATATATATATATATATACAGGTATGATAACCTGGACTCGTACAGAACATCCGAGACAAACCACCTCCCCCTGTGACCGTGATTAAGACCCTACGTTGGATGGCTGAGATACATGCACGTGTATGTTGTTAATTGATTGAAAACGAAAAAAGTGATTGTCTTGCATAAGAAATAGACAATTCAATAGTTAATTTTTTTTTCATTGAGGTAACGTCTACGCGCAAACTTTGCTTCCATGTTTTTAATGTTATCCTCGTATCGTTCCTCCAAACATTATCATCGTAATTATTCTTAAAAAAAAAAAAAAGCATTAATATATGTTCAACTTTCTGATACACTAATGTTTCTGATCATAAAAGTCAACATAATAACAGAAGTACAAACAAACAAACTTCAATGATCCTCTTCGTTTTTTCCATGGACATCTTAGGCAATGAATTACAGACTCATCATATTTATTTTTAATCCACTAGGACTATCACAAGGATTCCGAGACTATTTAGTGTATCACACCACTTCTTTTAAACCTGCATCATAATGCAGAGCCACTTCAAATGAAAAAGTTAATGGTTTTTTAGTCAAAGCCAAACGTCTCATTCCTGTTGTGACGTTGAACACAACGCCAACATTACTAGTGGAAAGAAGAAGACCATAAGAAGATAACTTGTAAGCCACAAGCTTGTAGCTGGGACCAAACAGGCCGCCGACATTGACAATCCGGAATATGGTATTGACCTCACCTTCAACTCCGCCAATTGTCAGAAACTCAGTTGATGTACAGTTGATACTCTCATGCTTCCACACCATTGATTCTTTAGTACAGTTTGAGGTGGTATCAAAACTGACGTATAAATCAGTTGAATCAGTGATACGAAATCCTTCCCCACTTGCAACCGTAAATTTTACTGGCGTACCTTTAGCACAAAGGTTTTCCAGTAGAACAACATCAACTGGGCAGGTTTCGTTTGCACCTTTGCCTAGGCTGACAACACCACCACCAAGGGGCCATTGACCTGATATCAGGTAATATGGAATACCAGGGAGAACCCCCGATCCTTTCATGTCAAGAACTGGATCATTCTTTGAAGCATGAACTGCTTCAGGGAGCAGTGTCAATGTGGAAGCCAGGAGAAGGAAGGAGAGTGGTAGTAACATAGTCTTCATTGTTATATTGGTTGTGGCTGGGGAATGAATAAAAGCTAGCTTCCATTTATAGATCTTATGCTCTCACGTTGCAAGGAGAAACAAAAATGGTTGTATTTGACTTGCAGTTAAAAATTAAAATTTATCGCTCCCTTCTCTATCATGATTAGTCATATATTTAATCTGAGATGAAAATAACTTGACATATATATAAAAACAAAAGAATATCCTTTGTTTTTCTCTCTCTATCATTGTATTAAAATAGAACGAAGAAAGCAGAGCCAAATAGATGGACTTCATTTAAATTTTGTAGAACGGCCGTTGGACTCGAAACAAACATTCAAACTTGAAGACTATTTTTCTTTTTACTGCTCAAGTTTACTTGTCTCTTGACTCCATGAGTGCTTGCTATGGCAACTTAAACTGTTACTTTGCTAGCAATGAGTTGAGTTGAATCACGGTTTTAAAACGGGCATTATATTATCTAGCTATATTATCATTAACTAACGAAAATTTTACCTTCTGTTATGTTTTAACTCGTTATGTAACTAGTTTTAAAATTTATTATTATACTGCTTGTCATCACCTTATTTTTATAAAACATAAAAAATAAAAAGAAAAAAATCAGAGAGAGAGAGAGAACTAGGTCTAGATCAGTATTGGGCTAGGTATTAGGCTTTGTGTTAGGCCTAATTAATAATAAATGAGGAAAATCAGAATAAAAAATCCTAGGTTAATCCTAGAAGCACTCTTATAAATACTATCCATACACACACACAAAAAGGGGAGGTGGCTGACACCTCGAAGGAAAAAAATAAAAAACTTAGCAGCCTAACATGAACTAAAAGACAATAGCTGAAAGAAGCTGTTGTCGCTCCCAATTAGTTGATTTTCGATCAACATGCATTGAACCATCAGAATCTTCCCTCTAAGACGATCACAACATCACTTGAAACCCTCCATTCCGAAAACGAAGCAGCCCTCACGCCCCTCCCAAAGTTCCGCCACTGCTGTTGCCCACCAATCCAATTTGGTCCCTGGATTACTGATTTATGTAATTACGTCCCTATACTTTCACGTTTTTTATTTGATTTTCATCCAAATTTTATGATTTTGCATGATTGTTTCTATGTTTCATAGGATGGTAATATCAATTATGTGATTGAAGATGAATATTTGAATGATTATTGTATGTAAAACAGCTTGGTTAGAGGTGTAATTGAAAGATTGAAAATTTGAATACTAAGTTATATGTGACAGAACCAAAAAGGATCTAAATTCAAGTTGTTTTGATGGGTGATGTGTCTTAATGTTCACTTAGATTGTGAATAATGAATTAGTGATTTTTTTTTTTTAAAGTTTTAATCTTGTCTTATTTTGATCTTATTTTATTTTATTTTCAATAAAAAGGGATTGCTCGACATATCATACAATATTTTTTTTTAAGTCCATGAAGAACTGTCGATCAATGATGAAGCTAGCAATAGGCTAGCAATTTTTAAAAAAATTAAAATGAGCCAAATCTAAATTTATAGGTTGAGGATCTTGTGGAGACCTATTGGCTATTCTATATTTCATGAAGTCGTTTTTATGTGATCTCGTGATTTTTTTTGTACATGTTTTTATGTCTTGCACTTGTATGTGTTTATTTTATGTGATGCCGATCTAGGTTAGTTTAGATGAAATATGCTTAAAACATGAGATCGACTTGATTCCAATGACGAAACTTTTCTTGTTATTTTATTTTATTTTATTTTTATTCTTATGGCTATTGTTTATAGTTAATTTTAATTTATTTTTATGGTGCTACTAATTTCTTCTTCCTATAGATTTAGCTCTTAATTTGGCATTGGACCCAATTTTATACTTTTAAATGGCACGACATATGATATGGGCTTGAGGCCTATATCCATTTTCTTTTCTTTTTTAGTTATTAAAGACTTATAATTTTATTTTATTTTATTTTATTTTTTTATCGTTTAATAGGTGAATTTGGGTTTGAGGCCATGTTCATTTTATTTTTATTTTTGCATTTTTGTGGGACTAGGATTTAATGTGCAATGGGCCCGGAGCCCTAATTTTTATCTTCCTAAATGGGCTCTAGCAGCTCAATGACATATTAGGTAAGAGATCGAGTTTTTTTTTTTTTAGTCTTCAAATCACCTCCTTATAAATTGATTAGAAAAGACCTAAATAATCAAGCACATAAATCAAAGTAGAAAAGATAATTTGCATGAATGAATTTTCTTAAGTTAGAAATGTACGAGTAACCTCATTATGAGAGCACACTAAGGTGATCTGTAGTCTTTCTTAGTTGTGTAATCAACTCTCTTATTTATAATCTTAAGACTAATGATAGGTTTTTCTTAGTTTTCACATTTTAAAAACTAAGTGGTGACTCCACATCCATACCTATATGTTTATATTTTTTGACGATCGTCGAAAAGTCACCGTGTGATAGAATGGCAACCCACTAGGGACTTAGGGGTTAATCCTATGATGTTTCTTACTTTTGGGAATTATCTTTGTCCTATCTTGGTATGCTTGTATTCTTGTGCAATTTACTTTGATGTTTGGGCTTGTATATGAAGTGTGGCCCTTTTGCACACATTAGCACATACACAAGAATAATATTTGATCCGACCCACACTCTAGTTCTTTTACCTAAGATTAGGAGGAGAGAGGTGGCACTCGAAGGATTATGGTATTGGAGTTCATGCAACTCACTCTTCCACTCACTTGGGAAATTTATCTTTGTACATGAGACTACGAAGGACAACCTTGTAACCCTCATACATGAGAATAAAGCTTCAAGTATCTCTTACTATGGTTAAACTTGAGCCCATGATAGGAGCCTTTGAAGAAGTTAGGTTAGACAACTTTACTTAGTCATGTTTAGGTAAATATAAAATCTATCCGTAGGCTACCCTCAAGATAATGGGGCATACATTATTTATTTTCTTATACGGAATATTCATAACATTATCTTACTTTAGAAACGTCATGACTATCAAGCCTACCATTAATGGTGATTGCTTTGCTCTCTTGGATTAAGATACCATGCTTCGTTGGCATAGTTTGGAATAGAAATGACGAAATAGTAAACACCATCTTGATGTTCGAGTCCACTATTGGCTTGAAATAAAAAGATAGCCATAATGCTCATTTCGAGTGAAAGCATACTTCATAATCACGCCCAACTTGAGTTCTTATATGGAAGCACTGCTTCTTTCTAAGTCTTATATTTTACACATTCATCTTAAAACAAATATAGATAACATTTGAAAAGCTCAACCTTCGCTAAAGATCTATAATACAAGACTTATGAGAAGGATGAAGAACGAAAAAGGAAATTAATTGAAGCAAAAGTACGTTAATGAAGTTTGAAGCTCTCAAAGAAGATGTGGCTCGATTAACTAATTTGTTAGAGCGACTACTATAAGAAAAAACATTAAATGAGGGGACCTCTAAGGGGCTAGCTTTCATATGCCATTAGTTATTGAAGAACCCCTCATCTTTCCCACATCAAGCATTAAGGTAACACCATAATTACCTTTTATAGCTAGTCATCCTTTAACCAAGCCAAAACTACAAGAGGCATCCATCCATCTTCGACCAACGGGACATGGAGCAATATTCATTACTTAAGAGTCATCATATCTTAATGCTCCTAATCCTTTTATGGTATTGACTAAAAGAGCCATTAGGTAGCCAATTGATGCTATAGTTGAAGAGTTAAGAAAAATAAAGTTGTGGGGATTGATGAAACTGATAAGTTATTATCCATTAAAGAGTGTTTAAGGGATATTGAAGGAATGGACTTGTATGAATCCGTAAAAGCTATTGAAATATGTTTGGTGTCCGATGTTGTCATCCTAAGAAAATTAGGGTGCCTAAATTCATAAAATGCATAGGTACCCAATGCTCAAAAATTCATCTTTGAGTCTACTATAGTAAGATGATAGTGGTTTTGCATGATGAAAAGCTCGTTAATTCACTTATTTCATGAGAGTTTGAATTATGCTTGTTCTTAATCGGTACATGCATCTTGATAGAGTTATAATTCGAAGTGGAAAGATCTAGTGGATGCCTTTGTTTTCCAATATAAGTTTAATTCGGAGATGGTTCGGATAAAACCACATTGCAAAACATGAAAAAGATGATGAAAGGACATATTAAGGAGTATGCTTAGAGATGGCATGAAGTGGTCGCTCAAGTCCATCATCCCTTGATTGAAAAAAAGCCGATCTATATGTTCATCAACACTTTTAAGGCTCTCTATTTTAGGTATCTTATCAAAAATTCATTACTTAACTTTACCGATACGGTGGTTATTGGTGAGAGAGTGGAACAATCCATTAAGGCAAGAAAGATTTCAGAATCTAGTCCAAAAAGGAATAATTTTAGCAATAGGAAAGACAATGATGTTTTTCAGCTAGAGTCTATCAATTTTTAATCCGATGGATGGTGGAACATCACTCTTTCTAGATCGAAATATAAAAAATCAAGCACCATTTTATATGCACCTCCTATGAACATTGCTCATAGCGATATACGTAATGTATTCACATCACCTACAAATTATCGGTAGCATTTCAATTATCAATTGAGGTCTCCACCTAAAAGCAATCAAATCATAAAGTACCAAAACATATTGTGCCATCTTTTTATGTTTCTAGATGAGTTATTCAAGTATCTTAACAATATTGGTCAAGTCGTCCCCATCCCTATGGATCTAGTTCAGCCACCATATCCGCATTGGTATAAACACGATAAAAAATATGACCATCACTTTAGTGTAGTAGGGCATGGTATTGAGAGTTGCATGGTTTTTTTAAAAACATTCGATCTCCGATTGATCATGGTTGGATCTTTACGGATAATAACACACCAAACACTAGCACCAATTCACTACCGAACTCGTACAATTGCTAACATAAGAGATGAAAATATTGATTGAGTATATTCAAGATCATACAAGGTTGACATAGGCCCGTACTTTGCAAATTAAGTTCTCTTTT